AGATTTTTTGATTGTTTTGACAGCACCTTGCTAGTGGTGGTCCCATGCATGCTCCTCATAGCTACTAACTTCTCTGATTTCAAAACTGTTGGTTTTTTTTTTTACCGCTATGAATACCAAGATTTTGAGCGGTATCAGATATGTTTATAGACTTGTCAGCGGCAATAAAAAAAAACATTTCGAAAACTGGTTTGTCTGTTATATTTGAATGGAGATATCTACCCATATCTTTCTCTCGCCTTGTATTGTCAAGAGAAATGTTGAAAACGTCAAAAGGATTCTTTTTTTCAGAACACAGGTCTTCTATTATTGCTAGAAAACACCTATTTACCCATTCGCCTTAGGAATTTTTATTTGTTTTTCATAAATATTCTCATCAATCCTTCTTTCTAGGTGAAATCTAGCAATTACGTCTTAATCCAAAAATGCCACCTTATTTATTTATGTTTTCGATTTCACAAATATTATTATCGGTAACAATCCATTTATCTCAACGTAGAGAAAGATATTTTTTTCTCAAACTTTTTTTTACGAGAGGGGATTTTCTTCACATTTTGCCAAGGTTTGTGGGCCGTATTTGGACATCACTGAACTAAAGAAAAGTAATATCCAGATATGATCTAGATACCATATAATAGAACTTTTTAACAATTAGTTTTAAAAAATATTTAGTTGCATACATTTATGTTTATTTAAAAAAATAGTATTCATTACAACTTATAAAAATGAAATAAATTAGTGAGATCTTATGTTCACAAGTGCATTTGGTTTTTAAAACAAGTACCAAACTGCCTTTTTCATCTTGCTTTAATGTTTATTATACAAACATTCACATAATGTTCAGATTTAATTAAAAACAAACAAACAACAAGAGCACACTTTCTGCAGACAAGAAATATTTGTTGCAAATATTTTTAGCACAATTAATAGTAAAATATGAATTTTCAATCTAATAGTGCTTATTTGTTTGTGTTCATTATAATTTTCTTACAATGTGCATGCCGTGCCTAATTTTAAAAACATTTGTATTCAGAGAACCTGGCACTTTTAGTTTTGATCTGACAGAGCCAGCAGAAAGACAGTGGTGGCTTTTTGCTACAGGAACAGCCAAAATAAAAGTAGAAAAAATTAATCAGTATTAAAGCTTGAGTACTTTCTGGTGTGAAAAATAATCTTACTTTATGATTTAACAATGATGCCCTTACTTTACTCTGTATCTTTTATTTTTTTAAAATTTAAACTTTCATTTTTTCTAATGACAAAGGATTTATAGCATTATGCATTTTTATTCTAACTTAAATTTCTAGAAACAACCTTGTTTTAAATACAAAATACATTTCAAGTGATAATTCACTTTTCTTAGTACATTAAATAGTATATTGTTGAAAATGTTAGGTAAAAAACTTGAATATAAATGGTCTATCAAGGCTTTTAAATTTAACTGTCATTTTGTTTTTTATATTTAGAAATTTTATGTACAGTGCTGGGAGAATTAATTATTTTTTTAGATCATTTATCAACATAAGTAACATTTATCCATATCTGAGGTCATTAATGAAGTCTTAATGGTTAATGCCATTTCCAAATATGTTATAAAATCTTTTGCTTACTTTTAACTAAAACATTTCAGAAATGTTGAACAGAGATTCAAACATTTCAATTAGCATCTTCTAGAATGTTCAGCCAACTCTTACCTCTTAAAAGTCAAATCTCAAGTGCTACAAAAGCATAAGACAAATAAAATGTAGGCTCAAGGTGCTATGAAAACATAATAGACAAATAAAATATAGGCTCAATGTGCTATGAAAATATTTAGCACAAAGAAAATATAGGCTTAATGTGGTATGAAAACATAATAAATAAAATGTAGGCTTATGGTGAAATCTGAGGGATATATACGGATTAATCAGTTCACTGATATTCAAGGTTCTAGGTTAAAATTTGACAAGTGCAGGCTTGATTAGTGCTATACCTATGGTCATGCAAGTGTAATTGTTGGGACAATTTCATTAATACAGTCAATGAGCAAGTAAAGATGGAATTGTATTGAGATCACCTTTTGTTTAGACATCTTTATTCTAGGGTTCTATACATAGTTTTCAAACACACATTGGAATGTGATGAATGTAGAACTTATCTTGCCAAGTAAGAAATTATTGAAAGAGTTCAGTGTCTAGGATAGAAGTTGATAATACTTTTTCTCTATTCATTCTCCTAACATTTGGACTGTTGCTTTGAAGAAGAATCAGTGGGTTTACTAATGTGGCGATCCTAGGCATTTCTAATCATGTGAATATCTTTGTATACAATACGCGAAATCAAACAATTAAGTGGGTTTCATATTTATGTCAATTATATGCTTGATCAATATGAGGACATTGACTTTATGATGAGCACTGTCTATGACAGAACTTTGATACCAAATATAGTCAACAAATACTACTGACATTATAGTTTGCTTTGACATATATAGAAGCTCTGTTCAGAAATGAATTAGGCTTGCTATCCAGAACTTCGTGTATTGTAATGTAGGATGTCTCTATAAAACTAAATGAGTTTACAGTGTGTATGCTAAAACAGAGTGAATATGTCTACATTTTGATAAAGCATCAACTTCAGATCTTGACTTATTTGTAATCTATCTATTTTGATTTCTAGACTTTGAGGCAAGGTTTCGATTTCACCCATCCAATGAGTTTCCACCCCCTGAACCTTTTAGCATACAGCACAAAGTTTACCCCAGTAAAAATCCTAAAAATTCTGGTAAGTAGAAATTAAACCAGTCAACACCAGCTTGAATATTTGTAAATGGTTAATTCTGTAACTGTTAAAAAAAGATAACAGCATCTAAATAATGGCTGTTAAAGTATTGTATTATTAAACACATTATATCTAGTGTTATTTAGTGCTCTTGATTTTAATGATGTGTCAGTACTAATAGTGAACTTTATCCATTTATTTACAGCTCGCAGCAGGCCACCTCCTCCAGAGCCCCCTCGCATACATTGATTTGCAGTCAAACACTTTGGCAACTTTCAAGATGAAGGGTTTTTGAAATTTTTTATTTTTTTTTAGATAACCCCTTTTTAAAATATAAATATTTAAAAAAAAATTTTTGTAGCAGAGTTATTCAGAAAGAGCATTTTTTGGAATTTGTAAGCTGAATTGTAGTTTTCTTCACTGCATTTCTTCTCTATTATATAGAGCAAATTTATGCAAGCAAATTATGTTTTGATCTAGTTTATTTTGAAAACAAACTGTATTAATAAATAACATTTGCAATAAAATGTATATTGCAAATATTTAATATTTTTAAACTACTGTTTATTCTCAAAATGCATTGGTTAGTTATTGATTAATTTTATTTATTTTGTTTTGGTAAACATCTAAACTTCACTGGTTTTTTTTTTTTTTTTTTTTTGCTATATTTTGTGTTCATTATATCAGAAAGTCAAACATGTTATAGGAGTAAATGGTCTACAACTGTAGCCTGTTCTTCAAATGAATCAGAAGGACATTTTTTATTCTCATGAGCCTATTCATTGAGTCTTGCATCTTTTAAACTAAGGATTTAGAGCTCTATGGAATTAGTCATATAACAGAGTTATCAGATAGCTGAAATGTCAGTAAATAGATACTAATTTGAATGAACTTACAGCCCATGAAGTGTGACTGTGTATCTAACTGTGATTTATGTTGCTCACTTTGTTCTCAATGTTTTACATTAGGAGTTGATGTGTTTTTTTTTTAATTATATTTTTGTATGATTGTTGTAATTATAGTACTAGATCTAATTAATGATACATTTAGAATACATAGTGTCCTGTTTTAATTAGGTTTCTTTTTATTTTGTTAGTATCTTATAAAAGAAAACATCAGGCATATGCATTTTGGTATGTATTCTTAACTTTATTACAAGTATTTCTAGTTAGCTATAATTGTATCTTTTGTAAGGCTATACAATATAATACTTTTTTTGGGGGGGGGGGGGGGGGGGGGGAATCGTTATCCTACTTTAAGCATTAAATTAAAATGAAAACCATATAAATAATTTATCTGGCAAATTTCCTATTAGAACACAAGGCGTTTATTTCATAATTTGCATTGAGTTAAAAAAAAGGAAAATTTAAGTGATATTGAGTTTTTTTCACATTGAAACTTTATAATTTATGTTAAAAGTATTTGAAACTTTTTTTTAATTTTGGGATTTGTATTAGTCTGTAGATATAGTTGATGTTTTTTCTTCCTTGATCACAGTCTTGTTCAGTCTAACTAGAAAGATATTTTCATTCCTGATGTTTTTAACACTTTGAAGAGGATGACAAATTGATCATTTTATGCTTCCTGGTGCAGTCACTGGTTTTATTAAATTGACATTTAGCCAATTATATTTTCATTGTTAAACTGACACTAGAAGGCTTGCACTATTTTAAAACCATAACATTTTCTAGACATGCATTAGTATTACAGACAGAAGATACAACATTAACAATTGTATGATTTTGTGAAATGTTCTTGTATATACTTGTAATCTAGAGTCTTATAATTGTACAGAACTGACAAGTATGATGGCAGTCTCATGATACATTTTATAGCATGTTTCAAAATCATTGTAAGCTATTTGCTCTGTCAGAGCTCAAGTTTAACTGGAACAAAATTGAACCTCTAATCAAGCCAAACTAATCTCCATTGAAATGACTTGAATACAGTTGAGATGACATTCTAGTTTCAAATTAAATATGATGTTTTTGTTCAGCCTGCCTGCTCTCAGTCTGTGTGTGCGTTTTTTTTTTGTTTTTCTTTTTAAGATCGATCATTTGATATGTAAGACAGTATTCACTGTCTCTTTAAGATTTACCTTATTGCATTAAAAGTATAAATCACATATGTTGTTTTATTAATTGTTAATAGTGTCATTAGCTTATATAAAAACAACTCAAAACTTTGTGTGCTGACCCAATTCAATAATACAAACTCTTTTGCCCATTCCATGTATTATCTTTTTTTTTTTTTTTTTTTTTTATTAATATAATAATTGTTGAAACATTGTTTTGTGTACATTGCAGTAAAACCCAAAGGAATTATTGATGATGTATTCAATAGAACAGTGTACATTGACATTGAGACTTGTACATTGAGAACCAAGTTGTATAGTTAACTTGATTTGTTGTTGATATACACACTGGAATTATGATTAATTTTTAACACAATTGCTTTCCATAATTCCCATCTGAAACTTGCTATTGAATGAGTCAAAGATGTGGTAATAATTTATATATAAATATATTTTTTATTCTAAGTTTTTTGTGTTTGTATTACAATGGCTGAAGACATACATTTTCTGTTCTAATAATATAAGTAAGATTGAATGCAGTGTCATGAATTTAGATACTGTACAATTTTACATGTAGCTGTCACCTTAGGATATCCTCATGATTTTACTTCTTTTTTCTAACCTTAACATATCAATATGGTCATCTTTTTTTGGGTCTGAGCCTTTAGTTTGATATTTCACCTGCTCGCTAAGAAATATTTTTCTGCCATTTGCTGATTTAACTTTTAGAATTTTTTTTTAATTAAAAAATAAACACTTTGGTACAGGGATTATTTATCTGTGCGATGCAGCATTGATGATAACCAATTTCTTGTGGATGTGTGCCTTGAATTACACAGAATGAAACTTAATAATTTAATCTCACCTCTGCATTATTGACTTTGTTTAAAAAGAGGGCACTTCTTCTATTGTACATAATTTTAAAATTAATTCATACTAAAATAATTTTTTATTTTACACCATTGCTATAGACATTAGGCTAAATTAATACAATTGCTGTTACATTATGTACTTCAATACTATTTTTTTTTTTACAGATTAAAAAAATTATTTCAGTCTGTTTAGTGCAAGTTAGTATTTACCAGTGATCATTACTAATTTCTCTTTTGTTTTTTAATTTGCCCCCAGAGAACTTTTATTAAAACAATTGTCTGTTTTCTCATTAATGGCATAATTCTAACCTTTTGTTCAGTAGCCACTTATAGTGATTCTGGTTTATTTTATTTTCTCTGGTATATAAACACTACTGCAAGGCTGCTCTGTATTCATATATATATATATGTATAGTGGTGAAAGCCTGACCTTTGGTTATATTGTTAACAATCTGAATGTATGCAGAAAACCTTGCAGATATGAAACAAAATAAATTGCATTATTTATGAAGAGGTATTGTCTTATAATATAGTCTTATATATAGTCTGCTTTAGTCAAAATAATTTCTCAATCCAGCAAATAATCATTTTTTGGAACATGATTTCAAGACATGTCAAAATTACTCCAATGATTCAATCAAAATTGTGTCTAAAACTTCTATTAAGAATCTTATCAAATATTTCAGAACTTTTTGACACAGGTAATACTAGTAGTGTTATTATTGTTGGCATCACAACCAATTAAGATGAGTAAAAAGTATCACTCATACACAACTAAATTACTCTGGTAATTTGCACCCATTAATGGAGGATGCCTGTACACAACTAAAAAAAAACTAAGACGGGGGGTTTATTCATATGAAACCAATGGAATGCCTCTCAAATAGCCTCTGACGACCTGTCCAACTTCTGGCCTTCTTGAGTGGCTCAAATATTGAGTCTGGAGAAACTGTTTTCACTAACAAGAAGGGGCAAAGATGCGTAAGCCACTAAGTTTTGGGCAGGCAGCTAGGAGAAGGAAAACTCATTCAAATTTTTGCTGCCTACCGAAACAGGGAAAGGCTTTCCAGTGACCCTTAGGTAGTTTGCAGCACACAGTGCTACACCATGGCAGATCCTGCTGACCCCAAACTAACAATTGCATGGAGAAGACAGAACTATTGTGTAGGTGACGTCATTCCGACCATAGCTAATGCCCAAGCATTGTTCTTATTGCTATGATTTAATCCATAGTTGCTTTGCAACTAAAAGAGGCCATTACCAACCAGGACATATGTCAGGATATAAATATAATTATATAAAATAAGGATTCTATAGTCATAATAGTTTTGAGCTATGCTTTGCTCTGCAGACTGAAAAACAACAGGCTAAGCCAGATTTAAATGTCTTAAAACATTCTTTTTAGCTCAAGGTGTGGACCTCAGTAATTTCCCTTTGATAATCCCCAATGCAAATAGATTTCAAAGGATGTTGGTAGCTGTGTAAACAAAAGAATTTCAGTCTTTAGATGTCCAAAGTAACAAATATAACTATTAACAGACATTATTTTTTGCAGTCGATTTATTCTTAAAATAAATGAAAAAAAAAATCTTTCATGAAAACAAAGAATTCAGACATGACACAAAAGAGATTCATAATAAATACATTATTATATATTTTATGTAAAAGGTGAAATACACAGCCATTTTACTCTTGTATTCGGAATATATTTATCAGTATAATGTAAAAAAAAAAAAAATGCTACATTCAATGGAACTTAATGACATGGAAATCTTAATTTAAAAAGTTTACCCTGTGGGTCTTTAAAACTTGACAATTATTTATTGACATGATAATTATTCCAAAAACTATTTTAATATGTATCACTTTCTAAAGTGTGGTTATAAAACAATTACACTTCAATAAGAAACAAGTTTTCATGCATCTCAAGAAAATCTGTGTATATATTTATGAAATGGTAGCATAGCTAAATGTTAAGATAAGTGCTTTTACAAACATTTCTTATTTCTAAAACAAAGATACATTAGTTGGACTTCAGTGCAAACCATATTTTCATGATTTGATTTCTAACACAAGTAAATGTGCACTAATAAATAGGTAGTCAATTCTGTACTATTGTCATAAGCAACACATTTTATTAATGCTAAAATTAATCTTTTTTATTATTAAACAGCATTTTGGTTATTAACAAATAATGTTCAGTGTTTGAACAACTTTTTAAAGAAACATTTGTAAATTATAATTTAATCTCATTACCATATTTAAAAATAAATCTTTTTTTTTAATTATGGCACATTGATAAAATAATATCAATAAACATCTGAATTTACAGAATCAATTACAAGGAAATAAATATTTCATAGTCAAAGAAAAAAAAAAGGCATTATAATACCTTAAGTATAGTAATGTCCACATTTGATTATAATAAATATTGGGTTAAAAATAACAGTAGTTGAGTAAGTTTCTGATTCAACCAGTCAATGGGGCGAACTAATGAAGTCAAAAAAAGACTAGCATAAGTGAGTTACAACTCTAGACACCTAAAAAACAACAAATTGAACTGACATGAAGTAACATCTTTGAATATTCAGTTCAAGGAAAGTGATACAATACTGAGACTTAATAATAGCAAAGAGTAGGACATTCAATAGTAGGAAACTGATATTAGATGTAACACAGAGAACTGAATTTGTGCTGACAATGGGACTAAACCTGTAACCAAAGTATGTGGAAAATGATCAAGTGACTTCATAAGTAATATCACTTTGACATTTTGTTTTAATTCAATCAGAATAAATTCCAACTGAACAGAAAAAGAAGATTTGATCAAGATTTTGATTCTCTTTCAATAAGAATTGATACAGCACAATCTTAAAAAGTCTGTGGGATAAGTAGTGTTTTTTTCCCAAACTCATTAACAGCTAACATAATCAAATGTATCTAAAAATTTATAAAAATATGGAGCATCATGGAAATTGTGTTCACTGGTAAGGTGAGTTATTACTCTACCGAGAACCAAATGTCGCCCATATGAAACAGCTTCAGATCTGTCCGAAGCTAATCCAACTCTCATCAACCAATCGCACAAAGCTGTTCCAGTAAATACTTTCTTGAACGTTTGGTATCTAAACCTAAATAGAAGAGAAATAATAGAGTCAAATAGTATTGTATAATTAGCATTGTTAGTACAATGAAATCTCGTTGCAGTAAAATACAGTAGCTCTTATAGATCAAAGAAAACAGAATTTCAAAATTAAGAAGTTTTATATTGTATATGTTTCAGATATATTTGACAATCCTTATTCTTATTCTGCAACCTCCACCACTTCTGCATGGCCAATTATTCAAGGGTAAAAAAAGTGATGAATGTTTATAGTAAATATTTGATACATCTTTTTTTGTTTTCGTTTTTACACAATTGAAACTAGACAGTACAGTTAGACTGATTAAAAGTTACTTGTGAATAAGTAACTTTGTTAAAGTAGAGTTCAAGAAAATGTTCTCTGAATCATTTATACCATCCATATTAAAGGGAAACTCTGATGGTTTTTCAAATTTGTGTTATTGACATATTTAAATTCTGCGTAAAAATTGTAATAGTAACCATTTGACCATTTTTATTTAAATGCTTAGAAACATTTATATTTAATAAATAAGCCAATAAATTCTTGATATCTTTAAAAAAAAAAGGGTTTTCAGAGATAACAAACTCAATAAAAAAGTAACATCTTCATCTACGTCCCTAGCCCTGTCCTAAAAAGTAAATAGATCGTGTCTGACTGATTCTAAAAAACTGGTTAGTGTAAGGCTAGTCTAGACAACGTGTAGTCGGTCATGACAAGACAACCAAGCGATAGACAGTGTTTGTGTGTGTTGAGTGGTCAGGTGAGAAAATGCACACTGCCGTGGTTAGTCAAGCATGTAAATCTGCTTTAACACACATTTTTTTCTTTGCTTACAAGATCTAGATCTAACTGCATAGACGAAGATATATTTTTTTTTTACGAAAATGTAAACTTTACTGTATGGTCTCCCATTATACAATAAGTCAATAGACTCAATTAATAGGTTAGTGTGACATCACATAGAAACGCAGTGAAAATCTGATATTTTTGGATGAAAAATTACATCAGAAAAATATCAATTACTAAGCTATTATTTCAAATTAAAAAAAAAAGAATAATAAATTAATTATCTGTAAATCAAAAAACACATATTATATAAAAAATGGTCAAAACCATCAGAATTTCCCTTTAAGGAAACTGAAATAAAACTTTGAAAACTACACACTCCTGAAGCTGAAAACAAAGGATTGTATGTAAACACATCAAATTGAAATAAGAAAAGATTGAAATACTAAGAAAAATGAAGGATAAAAAAAGAACTGATACAGAATAGGGAAATTAAAGTTGAGAAATCTAAAAATATTCCAATAAATTCACAAAATTAAGCAATAAAAAATGTGCAAAGAATGATCTTATCTTATATAATACAGACGTTACTTCAAAAAAGAAGATTACGTCTTACGCGTCATGCATTTAGTCATGCATATTAACCAATGACTTAAATTCTGCCAAGTCACTGGTTTTCCTGGCTAGCTCAGGCAACCCATTCCATGCTCTAATAGCACTAGGGAAAAAGGAGTATTTGTACAAATTTGTCCTATCATATGGGACGAGGAATGTGCCTTTATCTTTGTGTCTTTCAGAGTATTTTATTAAATTTTGTTTTTGTATTTGAAGATTATGGTTCAGTGTTTTATGTATAATTGCTACTTTACTTTTGAGTCTTCTGTCCTGAAGACTTTCTAAATTTAGTGATTTTACTATAGGTGTTACTCTAGTCAAATGTGAATATTCATTTGTTATGAATCTCACTGCTCTATTTTGTGTCTGTTCCTGTTTCTTAATGTTTTCTTGAGTTGAGGGGTCCCAAATGGAGGATGCATATTCTATTATTGGCCTAACCAAAGTTAAATAACATTTTAGTTTTATGTTCTTATTTGATTTATAGAAATTTCTTTTTATAAAACCTAATACTTTGTTTGATTTCTTTATAGTTTCATCAATATGTGGATTCCATGACAGTTTTTCATTTATTATAACACCTAGGTATTTTGCGTTTTTAGTCTGTGTTACTGGTTTGCCATGAATAAGATAAGTGGAATTAATTTGTTTTAGTTTTTTTGTTACTCTTAACAACTGACATTTTTCTGGGTGGAAAGACATGCTCCAATTTGATTCCCATTTCTGTAATTCATCTAATTCTCTTTGTAAAATATCTCTGTCTTGTGTTGTTTTTATTGTTCTATATATTATGCAATCGTCTGCAAATAATCTGACTTTTGTTCCTGAAGTAATGCAATTTGGTAAATCATTTATGTAAATAAAAATAGTAGTGGACCCAAGACTGTTCCTTGAGGTACACCTGAGTTTACTGTTATCGGTGTTGATTTAGAGCCATTTATTATTACAGTTTGTTCTCTCCCTATCAGAAAATCTTTAATCCACTG